CTCAGCCTTCCATCCTTCCGAGGTGGGTGAAATGAGGACCCAGACCGTGGGGGCGATATGCTGACTCTCTGTAAACCGCTTAGAGAGGGCTGAAAGCCCTATGAAGCGGTATATAAGTCTACTGCTATTGCTATTGCTATTGCTATTATGAAGTAGTGTGCTGAAGATTATTATTACAGTGGGGCAAAAAAGTATTTAGCCAGCCACCAATCGTGCAAGTTCTCCCACTTAAAATGATGAGAGAGGCCTGTAATTGACATCATAGGTAGACCTCAACTATGAGAGACAAAATGAGAAAACAAATCCAGGTAATCACATTGTCTGATTTGGAAAGAATTTTTTTGCACTGTATTATTATTATTATTTTACTGTGGCAGAATTCTTTTTAGGAAAGAGAAGAGGATAAATTCCTGGTTGGAAAATTAACTGCTGGATTTAATGTTGAATGGAATATCCGGTTACATTAATTAAGCCTTGGCATTTTTTTCTTTAATTGGTTGAATGAAGTAGAATTAGACTGACTTACACAAAACCATATTTATATAACTCTACCGAATTTTTTAATAATTTCAGTAACTTGGTTATTAAACCATACTGTTCAAAAGACAGATATATCACATTAGGCTCAACCATGGCATATCAACCACACACGTCTGTTAGTGTGAGGGGGACAACTCAGCCAGACTCACCGTGGAGACCAGAGTCTCTTGAAAACTCAGTTTGAGAATTCTGGGAATTCTTGCTGCATGCAAAGAGGATTAGCAAGGATTAGCTTTGCCTTTTCTGGATTGCAGAGCTGTACCTATTGAAATTATTTGTTCTGCATAAATATGGCAAGAGTCGTGTTTTCATTTATCCCCGGGTTCTCCAGGGAGTAGGTTAAAGGCTTCACAAAGACACGGGAGTCCTTCACCCTTTCAGAATATCTATATCTACTGAGAATCAAGCCCTAATCAATTCAATAAGTATTCTCAGCAATACAGACTTGAGCTTGCTTTAAGCATCATTCCACAAGTTGAGTCCTGTATAAGTTGCTGCAGTGGTGGGTTCCGGATCCCGGTGCAACCAATACGGTGCAACCGGGCCCCGGCGTTCACCACATGAACGAGCGCAGTATACGCACATACACGCACAGTGCGTGCATGCATCCTTACCTCTTGCGATGCTTCTGCGATGCTCCAGTTGCTCGGTGGAGCGTCGCGCAGGCGCCATGCGTTTCGTGTGCGGAAGCGCTGAAGAGCTCAAATACAGGTGAACTGGGGATGGCGGGTGGGTGCTTCGGGCAGGCACCGGTACGCCCGTACCGGGGCGTACTGCCTGCAACCCACCACTGGGTTGCTGTATGTTGGGCCTCCATTTCTTTCAGTTTTTGCATTGGAGGTGAAGCAAGAGCAGAGGTACATGGAGCATATAATGCTCCATCATATACTATTTGCACCACTGATCTTAAGAATTGGGTTAAGGAGCAGTAGAAATGATAGAGACCAGATGTCTGTACATTTCACCACCACAGATTCAGGAATCTAAAGGGTTGGACTCTAGAGACTGGATGATAAATTTAGAGTAGGAGAGGCAGCAGATGTCCATTAAGTATCTAGTTATTTATTAAAGAAATAGTGTGTACAGCCAGAAGCAAATGGTCATCACGAGCACACCTGACTTATGTTTTTAAAATCTCAGAACATGCAGCGAATCTTCTTCCAAAAGAAACAAGTTAGTTTTCATTTTCTCATATATATTTTTAAATGAGCAGAACATCTTAATTTTCTCTCTCTTCAGAATTACGGGAATATGAAAATAATCTTATAAATTGTTCGGCCATCAGCCAAGGTACAAGTAAAAAAGTTGTTTTTTGTACATTTGTAGATTGCAGTACTGCAGGCCACTTCAGCTGACTGTTATCTGCAGTTCAGCGGTTCTAATCTCACCGGCT